AAGTGTACATCAGTGGAAGGAAAATGGCAGCACACAGAACCATTTTTGTTCCCTGAATGCGGATCCAGTGGGGAGACTTGGGGCTTTCTCTCCCACTCCCTCCTGCAGGAAGCTGGCACTAGTATTCCAATCTTGCAGGGGCCTGTAAAGCTGTAGCATCAGTGCTGGTTTTCTGCTGGCGCGGCTGAGTTGGGGCTCCAGAATAGCCATATCTGGCTCCATAGCGAACCACATTTGGCTTGTGAGCCATAAGTTGCTGACCTCTGGTATAGGCCAATGTTCCTGAAGATGTGTGCATCATGCATCTTTTCAGAAAACCCCGCATTTATATCTGTGAAATGCCCATAGTGATTAACATGCAACTGCAGCACCATTGAGAAGTATCCCTTTCTGTTGATGTACTCAGTGGTAAGGTGAGGTGGCACTAAAATTACTAAAATTTCCCCCTTCCCATAGTAGGGAAATCCCATGTTCGAAAAGCCAGGTACTATATCATGTACATTTTCCAGAGTCAGGCTATGTCTAGATTGCAGAGCATTTCCGGGATAGCAGAGTTATCCTGCAAAAGCTCTGCCACATCCAAGGAACATGTCTGCTTTGCAAAAAAAATTTCAGAAAAGCAGATACGTTTTTTCAGCATCCCTGTAAACCTCTATCATCAACAGACATTGGCCAGTGAAAGAAATAACCTCACTCACTTTGTCATCCTCTTCTGGAGTAATTGGATTTCTGGAGTAATAATCATTTTGCATGATTATTAGACAATCTGAGGTAGAAAGTAAAAAGAAAGTACTGCAAATTGTGTTTCTTTTTTGTATTTATCTTTGTAGTGTAGACCTAGCCTCATAGTCCTCTGTAGCAGAATGCAATTTATTGCTCTGCATACTTGCAGCATTATAGCTCCAATGGTAGACTTCCCCACTCTAATTTGATTTGCAACTGACTGGTAGCAATTGGGAGTCACCAACTTCCACATAAGATTAACTGCAATTATTTCACATGATTAACTAAAAAAATTAATTGTGACTAGCACCAACTTCCACATAGCAAGCGATGCATGCTTCTCAACCAAGAGGGCAGCTTTGATTCTGGTGTCCTTGTGCCACAGGTTGCAGACCTGCTCAGCACACAGCTCCAGGAAGGTTGCTTTACGCATCCTAAAGTTCTGAAGCCAGGGGCCGTCAACACACACCTGCATGGCAATGCAATCCCACCAATCAAAGCTGATTTCCCTAGTCCAAAAGCGATGATCTATTCTGTACACCTACTCTGTGACTAGCAAATACAATGACAAGTTGCTGCTGTCCATGTCGAGCACACTGTCAGGCTTCTCCAAATCATCTTCCTCTATCAGTAATTTCAAAGTGATCTCTGCAGCCATGTGCAAGGTCCTCCTGACAGTTAACAGAGCGTGAGAGAGAACTGTGGGATCCAGTCTTTTTTTGCTGCAGATGCTGAATTGCACAGCAGAGAATGGCAGTTAAAAAAAAAGGTGCAAAAGGAAGTTTAAGCCCATGAACAAAGCAGCATCTGATGGGAACTTTTGCATGATCTCAAGATGCCCCATGATCTCAAGATGCCCCATGATCTGTTTTGCACTCTCACAGCACTTGGTGTGGGTGATATTCCTTCCTGACCAAATATGGTGATTGCTATGTCCAGGAGCATGAAATTCAATGGCCCTTATCTTAAATAGCCACAAATGTTATTACTGGTCATAAAATTGTCCAGCCCTTTTAAAAATTCAGAGATGTTAATTAATTTTATTAACTCCTGCAGAAGAGAAATGCCATAGACTAACTCAGCCCATTGTGCCTGGCTATTGCAAGGGTCTGAGATACATTTCTGAGTGTAAAAAAGATTTGGTCTGCAAAGTCTAGATGAAATGAATTAAGGATGGCATTTCAGCTCTAACATTTGCCAGCTCATGCCAAGATGTTAATGTTAATTACATTCAGGTCTTGTTTTGTTTTACTGCAGCTGGTCTCTGCTCTGTGTTTACGTTTATAGGTATTAGGAATGCAGACATTTGGTGTTTTACAGATCTCTGATTTCCCTCTCTGCAGCATGCTGAGCGTTGCTATAAGCTGAGCTTTTGTTAAGCTTGCTCAGGCTGCGAAATATACTGCAATGACCAATGGCAGGTTGGAATGAGATCAGCAACTAGGGGTATGTCTACTCTACAGAGTTTTTTCGGACAAACGGCTGTTTTTCCAAAAAAAACCTCACTTACTACCACACTGCAATTGCGTTCTTTCGAAAGAAAATGGAAAGAACAGTGGGGTTTTTCCGACATTGGTAAACCTCCTTCTATGAGGATGAAGCCTTTTTCAAGAAGAGCTGTTTTGGAAAAAGGCATGTGTGCACAGGGAAAAGCTTCTGAAGTTCTTTCGGAAGAAGAGGAAAAGAGGAAAAAGCACAGGTGCCTTGGTGGCCACTCCATTCATAGTAATCACATAGTGTCCATTCAGTGTGGACGTTATCTTTCAAAACAGATCGCTTTTTCGATGCACTTTGGCACCGTGAGCACTCTCTTTCAGAAGAAGTTTTCCTGGAAGATCTCTTCCATAAAAAGCTTTTTCCGAAAGAAGCCTGCAGTCTAGATATAGCCTAAGTGAAGTTAAATGAGCCTTATGATCATGGGATGAGCATAAAAAAGCACACATTATGTCATTATGAAAGGTGAAATCCAGTCAGGATATTGAATCAGTGTGTGAATGTATTTATTCTCATATCATATATATAGTAGCCCAATGTCTGACTCTGTAACGCTGAAACACTGGCTGTTCCCTCTGGGCGGCACTGTTGCCTCCCGCCATGGCACTCGGCTGACTTTTGCACCGCTCAGCCAGGCTGCTGCGCAGAAGCAAGCAGCGCAAGTGACCTTTTGGGGTCTGCACTCCTCATGCAGCACGGGAATGAGAGAGATGCAGCAGGAGGAGGAGAAGAGAAACACAGAGTGAGTGGCGGGAGGGGGAGAAAAGAAAGAGGCAGGAGGCGTAACGAGGAGTTTCACGAGGAGTAACGGTAGTTCGAACTAGGAACCCTGGAGGAACAGCCAGGGGGCGGGGCCTGAACAAGCGTCTCTGATGTCAGTCAAGAGCACCGGATTCAAAAGTAGGAAAGCGGAGCGGACGCAGAGGAGACAGAGAGGAGAACAGAGGAGGCGGAGGACAGTGAGAGAGAGCATGAGAAAGATGCAGCAGGAGGAGGAGAAGAGAAACACAGAGTGAGTGGCGGGAGGGGGAGAAAAGAAAGAGGCAGGAGGAGACACAGAGGACGCAGAGGAGACAGAGAGGAGAACAGAGGAGGCAGAGGACAGTGAGAGAGAGAGTGAGAGAGATGCAGTAGCAGGAGGAGAAGAGAAACACAGAGTGAGGAGGGAGGGGGAGAAGAGAAAGAAAGATAGACGGAGAGAGACACAGAAGGCAGAGGAGAGCTGAGAGAGAGAGCGGGTGAGGCAGTAGGAGGAAGAGAAGAGAGAGGGAGGCCGTTTGTGCCGCTTGCTTCCGCGTGGCGGCATGGGTTAGCGGTGCAGAAGTCAGCTGAGCACCACGGTGGGAAGCGAAGGGAGGCGGGGTGGTGATGTATACGCCCAGGGGCTGGGGCCTGGATGAGCATGTATCCCTGATGGAGAGAGAGGAAAGTGGAGAGAGAGTGAAAGGCAGGAGGAGGAGGAGAAGAGAAAGGGAGAGTGGGAGGCAGGAGGGGGAGAAGAGAAAGAGAAAGACGGACGGAGAGGCAGAAGGCGGAGGAGAGCTGAGAGAGAGAAGGGGAGGCAGTAGGAGGAGGAAGAGAGAGAGAGAAAGAGAGAGAGATGGAGTGAGAGACTGGAGGCTCAGGGGAGAAGACCGACGTGGAGGAGAGCAATTGGCTAGTTGTATTATAAATATCTTGTTTTCATGAGGGCGGAGTTGTTTTAAAGTGAGAAGTAATCGGCAAAGTATAGAAGATCTTTGCCAAATCTGAGACTGCCCCCATTTAAAATGACCCCAGATTAATCTAATTTCTTGAAATTGTGCATTCCTTTTTAAAGCCTGCTCCAAAGCCCACTCAGGCTAGTGAAAAGACTATCGACTTTAGATCAGAACCTTGGTCAGGCGAGAAGCTGAATGTTGTAATGTTATTTACAACTCTACTGTTGTTTAACATTTTGTGGAAAAGAACAGAGCAGCCAAACTTGTATAGTTCTATTGGTGTTATTCAACTTCCCCCTTTCTCTGCTTTGTCCTATTTTACTTTGCCATCTTTTATTTTCTTGGACTTGTACTGGTAGTGCAGGCAGCTCCACACACTGCTTCAGGCACCTCTGCAGTGTGCTGATAATCTCTGAATGGAGACTGGGAAAGACTTTGTTGGGCAGAGAAAAATGAAACTGAGGTGGCATGCTGTATTAAAAAAGATATAAAAACTAACCACTTCTGGAGAGTGCTGCTTCCAACATGTAGATCTTTTTCTGTTATGGGAAGAAGGAAAATCTCCACCCAGAATTATAAACAATGTAGGGCAATCACATGTAAAGGATTAAAATGGAAAAAAAAAACCATCTCTACAGCTTTGGAGAGCAATTAGTGCAGTACATGATCTTTAGGAAATATGAAACTTACCTCTATAAATTTGCCACTGAAGGGATCAGGGACATGTGCAAATGTGCCTGATGGACAATCTCTTCTTTAATACGTGTTCAGTGCAAACATCACTCTAAAACTTCTCATTCATCATTATGGCCACAAACTTCAATCTCTGTTCCCTGGCCTTAAGTGTCTGGGATTTGATTCCCTTCCCTGGTGGTGAAGGAAAATGCTTTTTGCTCCTGAGGAGGAGACTGGATTTAGATGCATGCAGAAGCCCACACTAATTGTCTAATTAACAGGTATAATAGGTGAGGGAGAGTGACTCTAAAGTATAAACATGTTCTTATAAATTAAAATGGATCATACATAAAAAATCAAAGCAGCATATTCACTCCCTTCCCCTTAATGAAGATGTAAGACTCTTACCTGATAAGCATCTAGCTGTTCATCAGTAAATATCGTTTGCTTATTACCCATCTTAAATGAGGAATTCTCCCTTTGTGCAAATGCATCACATAAGAAGTTGCTAGAGTCCTTTTTACTGTAGGCATTTAGAGTATATACACTTTGTGATGGTGCTGAAGAAATCCCCAAGCCTGCATTGAACTGCACCTGCCCAGCTAGCGAGGAACAATGAAGCCGTTTCTGGGAATCTTGGAAATGCTGGTTTTTTATGTGTCAGGAGGGAGAAGGTTAAAATCCCAGGCAAATATCACCCAGAAATGGTTGTGCCATCTTCAGCCTTTTCCTCTGCGTTTTCTTGGAGTACAATATGGGGTTTGTATGGTGTGAAAACTGATAAGGAGCATCCAGTGTCAGAAGGAAACCAGCTCTCTGCCACCCCTGCTCTGTCTCCACCGCGGCACTCCCTCTCCATACATTCCCAGTGTAAAAGGAGTTCTTCCCCACTAGGTGTCGCCCAATAACCCATTTATATTCCACAGGAGGCCAGCAAAAGAGGTGTCTGGATTGCTCCAGTCAGTGAGGGACAGGGTCCAAGTGCAGAATTTTATTGAGGAGCAATGCTGACATTCACAGGGTCCAGCTAAAGGTGAAGGGAAATACAGGGACAAGGTGCAACAGGGAACATAAGACTATGAGAAAGCTACTGGGGGGCAGCTGTTCTTGATTTGAATTTAACAAATAGGGAGGAACGGTTTGCAATGAAAGTGGAAGGCAGCTTCCGTGAAAGTGACCATGAAATCACAGAGTTCATGATTCTAAGGAATGGTAGAAGGGAGAACAGCAAAATAGAGACAATGGATTTCAGGAAGGTAGATTTTAATAAACTCAGAGAGCTGGTAGGGCTGGCAGAACAAACTATTCCACTGTGTAGGAAAGGTAGAAAGTATGGCAGGAGACCACCTTGGATCAACCAGGAGATCTTATATAATCTAAAAATAAAAAAGGAGTCGTATAAAAAGTGGAAACTAGGTCAAATTACAAAGGATGAATATAAGCAAACAATGCAAGTGTGCAAGATTAGAAAGGCAAAGGCACAAAAATGAGCTAAATCTAGCCAGGGCATAAAGAGTAACAAGATGTTCTACAAGTATATTAGAAGCAAGAGGAAAATCAAGGACAGGGTAGACCCGTTGCTCAGTGAAGAGAGAGAAACAATAACAGGAAACTTGGAAATGGCAGAGGTGCTTAATTACTTCTTTGTTTCAGTTTTCATCAAGAAAATGAATCATAGAATACTAGGACTGGAAGGGACCTCAAGAGGTCATAGAGTCCAGTCCACTGCCCTCACGGCAGGACCCAGCACTATCTAGACCAGTGGTCCCCAACCTTTTCAGGTTGTCGGGCACCAGGGGGCGTGGCTGTTCGCCCGCCGGGCACCAGAGGGCGGGGACACCTGCGCGTCCAGGGCCGCCCCCCCCAAGTGCTGTGCGCCCAGGGCTGGCACCCCCCTCCAAGCGCCGCGCGCCCACCCGGGTTGGGGACCACGGCTCCGCGGGCGCATGTAAAGAGCCCAGCGGGCGCCATGGCGCCCGCGGGCACCGGGTTGGGGACCACAGATCTAGACTATCCCTGATAGACATTTATCTAACCTACTCTTAAATATCTCCAGAGATGGAGATTCCACAACCTCCCTGGGCAATTTATTCCAGTGTTTAGCCACCCTGACAGTTAGGAACTTTTCCCTAATGTCCAACCTAAACCTCCCTTGCTTCAGTTTAAAACCACTGCTTCTTGTTCTATCTTCAGAGGCCAGGAAGAACAAGTTTTCTCCCTCCTCCTTGTGACACCCTTTTAAATACCTGAAAACCGCTATCATGTCCCCTCTCAATCTTCTCTTTTCCAAACTAAACAAGCCCAGTTCTTTCAGTCTTCCTTCATAAGTTATGTTCTCTAGACCTTTAATCATTCTTGTTGCTCTTCTCTGGACCTTCTCCAATTTCTCCACATCTTTCTTGAAATGTGGCACCCAGAACTGGACACAATACTCCAACTGAGGCCTAATCAGCACAGAGGAGAGCAGAAGAATGACTTCTCAAGTCTTGCTCACAACACACCTGTTAATGCATCCTAGAACCATGTTGGCTTTTTTTGCAACAGTGTCACATTTATAGACTCATATTTAGCTTGTGGTCCACTATAACCCCTAGATCCCTTTCTGCTGTACTCCTTCCTAGACAGTCGCTTCCCATTCTGTATGTATGAAACTGATTGTTCCTTCCTAAGTGAAGCACTTTGCATTTGTCTTTATTAAAATTCATCCTGTTTACCTTAGACCCGTGGTCACCAACCATTAGATCGTGAGCTACCGGTAGATCTCAGGGGCTCTAAGAGTAGCTCTTGAGCCCTCTCTGAACTGCGCACTTGCGTAGCACATTTACATTAGATTTCCTCATTTGAGGAGCAGCTTATAGGTAAGGTACCCATTTCTTATCACTTCCTCTCTCTATATACATATAAGAATGTTTTAACTGGTCATTTGGACTATTATGTAATGATTATCTCTATTTGCAATTTAAAACACTACATGAAATCAAAACACTTATGTAAATAACAAGGTTGAGGCCTGATAGTGTTATCAGTGCATGTCTTTCATCACACACACTATTCAGTCTACAGGACTATGTAGCACTTTAAAGACTAACAAGATGGTTTATTAGATGATGAGCTTTGTGACTATTTTCTTCCACTATTTGATCTGAGGAAGTGGGTCTGGCCCACGAAAGCTCATCATCTAATAAACCATCTTGTTAGTCTTTAAAGTGCTACATAGTCCTGTATTTTGTTTTAGCTACACCAGACTAACACAGCTACATTTCTATCACTATTTCAGTCTAGTAGCTTTAAAACATTTGCCAAGTAGATTGTCTTTAATTATCTAGCAAAGTAAAGTTTATCCACTATAATCAAACTGGAAAAGTGCCTTTAGTAAACATAACTGAAAAGAATGGGTACACATAATAATCAGCTTTACTAACATTTATACTGCAGAGCATGGTGAATTAATCATCCACCTTAAAAGTTTCACTCATTCTGGGTGCAGAAAACATACCGTGAACAGTAGATAACTAAAATTAATAGTGAATAATTAACATTTTTTATTGTACTGTTGCCTACCACAATGGAGTCCTGAACCATGATCACCACTCCTAGATGCCACCACAATACAAATAATAAATAATAGTGAAATAATTTAAGCAAATAGTAACAACTAACCTGGAATGTGAAAAATTATTCAACCAAACTATTCAATAAATACTAACAAAATCTGATGACAGTTGTTTGTGGTTGATTTGCAAGTCCAACAAACTCTGGCCAATCTCAATGCTGTTCATCTTGCTCAGAGTGGTGTTTGATGTGTTAAAAGACCTACGAAATATAACAGTCTGTCTCTTTTATACAATAAAGCCATGCTGGGTGCACTGGCTTGTAGGTATTGGAGGGAATACACTGAGCAGTGCATTGTGCTATACCAGGGGTCATCAACCTTTCAGAGGAGGAGTGCCAAGTTTTGACCTATAAACCCCTATGTACTGACCCTATCCCCCCAGTCTCCAGGCTGACCACAGCTTCCATACACACACCCTCCAGCCCCCAGGTCGCCTGCGGCTTCAACATCCCCCCTCTGGTCCTCAGGGCACCAGTGGCTTCCACACACCCTGTCTAGTCCCTAGGCTGCCCGCAGCTTCAACATCCCTCCCCTCTAGTCAGTGGTGGATGAAGTACCCCAAAAGTTACCTGAGTAAAAGTACTGCTACTTTGAAAAAAATGGAACTAAGTAAAAGTCAAAGTATCCTTCTGGAAAATTACTTGAGTAAACGTACAAAAGTATCGCATCTTAATTGTACTCAAGTATCCAAAAGTAAAAAGTAGCCATCCTACGGAAATCTATGGTTAACCATTATCATAAGGCACCATTATTTTTCATACACACAATGGCTACGTCTACACTGGCAGGATTTTCCAAAAATGCTTTTAACGGAAAAGTTTTCCGTTAAAAGCATTTTCGGAAAAGCACGTCTAGATTGGCAGGATGCTTTTCTGCAAATTTCCGCCATTTTCGCGATCAGGGCTTTTTTGTGGAAAACACTACTGTGCTGTTTACACTGGCCCTTTTGCGCAAAAGTCTTTCAGAAAAAGACTTTTGCCCAAACAGGAGCAGCATAGTAGTTCCGGAAAAGCACTGACGATCTTACATGAGATCGTCGGTGCTTTTCCGGAAATTCAAGCGGCCAGTGAAGCCAGCGGCAAGAAAAACTTGCCAGTCTAGACACAGCCAATGTGCATTTATATATGCATATATACGGTGTGTGTGTGTGAGTGAGAGAGAAACAACAATAGCCGTTGGGTTGGGAGCCACTGACCTATGGAAAAATCAGGTGGGGTCACACAAGTGAGAGGCAACACCCCCCAAAAAAATAAAACCCCCTCAATCTGGCCAGTGGGAGCAGCAGGGAAACTCTCTCACGAGCAGTTTCCAGCAACGCATTCTCCCAGCCGGGGGAAATATGAGCAGCAGCACATGGCACTGTGCTTCTTCTCCCCCACATGCCAGATCTGGCCCATGAGGCTCAGGGTTCCCCACTCCTGCATACAGGGCTGGCCTTAGGGAAAATAGCATCCTAGGCAAACTTGCATTTTGGTGCCCTGGCCCTCCATATTTCCCTTGGAAACTGCTCAGTCCCAATAGCTCCCCTTAGAGCTATTGTCTCTCCCCCTTGCAAAGGGAGTTGTCATAGGTTGTCATAGTCTTGACCAAGCCCTTCCTTTAAGAGCTACATGGGGAATAGATTATTGTAGCTTAAATCAGGGGTGGGGAACCTAAGGCCTGGATGTGGTCCCTGAGGCTCAGAGCATCTCCTCCCTCCCCCAGTATTGGGAGCCTGTGCCAGTGCTCCAACCTCCTGCCATCCCCCCATAGGGCTGGAGCACACAAAATCTACAAGCCTGGGTCCCCCAAGGCTCTAGTGTGTAAGGGGAATTCTTTCTCCTTCTCAGCTGGGGGCCAGATCAGTGAGGGCTCTTGGGTTTTTTTTCTTCTCGCTGTGTGTGGCCTCTGACTGATTTATCTGGGGGTCAGTGGCCCTTGACCCAAAAAAGGTTCCCCACCCCCAGATTAAATATTTTCCCTCAGATACGACACACAGAAAGCAGCTGCTATTTTTGAATCAGAGCAGATTGTGAAATGAAATAGTGAGTAAAAAAAATCCTGAGTGGATCACTCACCCTTCAGTGGCGTTCTTCCACGACGGCTTGAGCAGCTCTGAAGAAGCCCTGGCAGCTCCCTTGCTGCACAGCACTAGCTCTTTATGCCTGGTGTTTGGTCTGCAGCTCATGGCGAGCTCCCTGCTGTCAGATGGGGGCTGCATCTTGTGCATGTGCCCCTCCTGCAGTGCTCTGGCCACTCCTGACTCACCAGGGGGGCCAGTTCAGATTGTGGTAGGGCTGGGGAAGGCAACTTCAACAATTTCAGAGGATACTTAGGTACCTGAAATCTCTAGGGATTTAGGGTTTTGTGTTTATTTTGTTTTGTTTCTTTGCAAATAACTTAGAAATTAGCTGATTTCACGGTACACAGAAATCCTGACATATTTCCATCAGTAATAATTTAATTATTTACAGATCGGGAAAGCAAGAAAAATGCTTCCTGAGCACTCGTTAGAGTTAAAATTCAATAATATAAATTCCTGAACTGGGTTTGTCACAAATGGACAAGGGAATGAATAGTTAATTCAACAAATCATATCTGGTGTTAGGATAATTATTTTGTATATCTGGACATCTATCTTGACATGTGATATGGTGGTTTTTGCTGTTTTGTTATAGTTATATTGGTGCCTGGGTGAGAGTCACAAGGTGAGTGAAGTAATATTTTTAATTGGAACAAATATGGTTGGTGACAAGAGACAACCTTTAGAACTCCTCAGAGCTCTTCCCCAGGTCTGTGAAGCTCAAAAGGGCTAATCTCTCACCAACTAAAACTGTTCCAAAATAATTTAAAAAAAGATATTACTTCACCCACCTTGTCTCTCTGTTTACATTTTAACAGCTTTAAAGCTTGAACTCTTTACATCTCCACTTCGTCGTTAAAAAATTATTGGACCTCCCTCCACAATTTCCCAATCACTATGAACGTTATGAAAAGCTTAAAACATTACACAACGTTATAAAACATACCACGTGCATTCCACCAACCCTTTTTATAAGCCAGAGCACTGGGGTGAAGCATTGCACAGGAGATGGGAAAGAGCCTATACTTTATTCCCACTGAGTCCTCCTGAGTTTTAAGTGCCTCATTGAAACTGCAAGTCACAACAATAACACCCTATCTTCAGATTCTCACACTAGGAACCCCTGTGACTTCCAGAGCATAAAGAAAGTTTGCAGGTTAAGATGGGAGCAAAGAAAATTTCCTTATTGTTAATCTTAATGAAAGAACAACACTGCTCAAAAACAGCTTCAACAAGGCCCCCTGACCTGAGAAATTTAGGAATACTGATAAATACAACTTGTAGTGAAAACAAACAAAACCTGAGGGTGTGGATAGGTCATTAAGAATTGAATGGAAGGTAAAATGTTTCAGCCATGCAGCCAGACATCACCCACTATGACTCATTTCCCTAGGGGGCACATGGGAGAGCTGATTTCAATAATACTAATTGCCTCTGCACCCACCTGCCTCACATTGGGGAAGCAGCAGCTTCCCCTCTCCTCTACCCACCCCAAAAAAGTGAGCAAAACTTCAGAGCCAGCCAGGCAGGCAGGAGGAAAGGACCAACTGCTCATGGGGGGAAATTTAAAGGTCTCCCCCCCAACAAATTAAACTGTTATACCCCCCTCCCAAGCCAGTAGCCCAGCTCTCCTCAGTTCCCCTATGGGGCTCTTAGGGGGAAAGGGGAAAAAAGGGGGGGGGTGACCCACACCTGCTCTACATTAGCACACACCCGGACAGCAGGGTAACTCCAAATCCCAGCCAGGCGGCAGACAGAGGGAAGCTGTGCACACAGTTACAATTCTTCAATCCCCACCAAACTCGTCTGCCAACCCTGAGCCTGTACCAGCACAGCCCGCCCCATCCTCTTGCCAGAGGGCTTCTACGGGGCCCTCTGTCCCAGGGAGAATGGGGAGCTCTCCTCCTAGGCACCCACCCTGCTGCTGCTTCCACCAAAGCAGATGATTTACCTGACCCGAGTAAGTGCCTCTGTCCTCCCTGCGCATCCAGAAATATAATCTATGCTATCATGTGCTGAAAGTGTCCGTCTGCTATGTACACTGGACAAACGTCTCAGACACTTCGCCAAAGGATTAATGCCCACAAAACAGACATTAGACAGGATCACAAAGAAAAAACAGTTTCTTGCCATTTCAACCAGAAAGGACACTGTCTCAATGACCTAATCACATGCATCCTACTTCAGAAGACTTTCAAATCTGCACTTGCGGTTGTTTTCCTGATCTGGTGGAGGGCGGCTGCCCCGTTGTGTCCCTGCTGGGGCAGCCTCGCCCCACCTCCAGCTGCGATTGGGGCTTCTGTTTGTTTCTGTTCATACAGTTTGCTGCAGTTTTCCATCCCGGAGGACCTGCGTGAAGGTGGTCCGACCAGAGATACGGGGATCGATTTTTAAGAGTAAGAGGTTTTGTTTTTAAAGCAGGGGTGAGGAACCTAATACCCCAGCTCACGTGAGTGTGGCCCTCGAGACTCAAGGTTCCCACACTAACGCTCTAGCTCCCCTCCAGATTGGTGATAGAAATGTAGCCGTGTTAGTCTGGTGTAGCTGAAACAAAATACAGGACTATGTAGCACTTTAAAGATTAACAAGATGGTTTATTAGATGATGAGCTTTCGTGGGCCAGAAGTACTTAGTTACTCACTAAGTACTTAGTGAGTAACTAAGTACTTCTGGCCCACGAAAGCTCATCATCTAATAAACCATCTTGTTAGTCTTTAAAGTGCTACATAGTCCTGTATTTTGTTTCAGCTACACCAGACTAACACGGCTACATTTCTATCACTATTCTGTCCTCCCTGAACTTGGCTGAGGTGGCTGCTGGGTTTCCCTCCTATTTAGCTGGCTGGCCCCAGGTAAGGTCACATGAGATCCCCTCAGCACAGCCACCCTGCTTGCTCTGGTCTCAGGCTGGCAGTGCCTGCATAGATACGGTTTTTGAATGAAAAGGTGTTAATGGGGCTATTAAAAGGCTTCATTGTTGGCAGGGTTATTGTGCTTGTTGATTGATTTTTTTGGATGATTGGAAAGAAGCTGTGCTTAGGCAAATCAGAATGATGAAAGTAGTGAGTAACTAAGTACTTCTTAGTTACTAAGTAACTAAGTACTTCTTGGTTACTCACTAAGTACTTAGTGAGTAACTAAGTACTTCTGGCCCACGAAAGCTCATCATCTAATAAACCATCTTGTTAGTCTTTAAAGTGCTACATAGTCCTGCATTTTGCTAAGTACTTCCCGAAATTGTAGTGGGGTAAAAAGCATGATGTTTTCTAAAAAAAACTACTTGAGTAAAAGTCAAAGTATCACAAAAATAAATTACTTAAGTACAAATACTGAAAAAATGTACTTGAGTTAATATAACAAAGTATTTTTACTTGGTTACTTTCCACCTCTGCCTCCAGTCCTCTGGCTGCCTGCTGCTGGTAGCCTCAACACACAGCCCCTTCCAGTCTCCAGGCCACCGTGCCTTCCATCCTCCCCCTGCCCCTCTGCTCTGGTCCCCAGGATGACCACAACTTCCACACACATACAACCTCCAGTCCCCAGGCTGCCCATGGCTTCAACACCCTCCCTCTGGTCCCAAGCTGTCTGTGGCTTCAACACCCTCCCCCCAGTCCTCAACCTACCTATTCTCTCTCTCCAATGCAGCTGTGCTGTGCCGTGCGGTGCGGTGCCGTCCCTACCCCACCCCCACCAGCAGGAGCATCCAAGACACCTACCTTCCAGGAGCAGGAGGAAAGTGAGTGCTGCTGCGGAGGTGGGCAGGCTTAGATTTTGTGTGTGTGGTTGCATAGGTGCTCACATTAAAGGAACAGTGGAGCAGGCTCCTGGGTGCTGGGGGAGGAGGGGCAGGGCTGAGCTCCCACCCACTTGCCAAGAAAAATCCAGAGGAATTATACTCGGATAGTTAATGCAAAAATGTAAGGTTCTTTTTTTTTGTCCAAGACTTTGTCTTCACAAGAAGAGTAAAAGATGTTTTTAAATTAAATTAGCTCATGTAGCAAGGACAAGATGATTTGTAGTTTTCCCAAAAGTTTGCCGGTCAGCCCAAGGCCGGCTCTAGGCACCAGCAAAACAAGCAGGTGCTTGGGGCGGCACATTGCCAGGGGCGGCATTCCAGCCCACAGGAGGAGCAGGCGGGGAGCCCCGTGGAGGCCACCCTGAGCTGGGAGTCCCGCGCCTGGCTGTGCGGAGCCTGCACCTGGCCCTGGGGCACTGGGAGCTCTGTGCAGGCAGCCCTGAGGCACGGCCCCTGCTGGGGCACTTCCTGGAGGGTGGCACGGGGCGGCCACAGCTGCTGAATCTGCTGGTGATGCTGAGCCCAGCAGGGCAGGGTCCGGCCATGGTGGCTGTTCTTGGCAGCCGGCTCCCGGCTCACTGGAGCTGAGTTCAGGGGCTTGGTAAGTGCTGGGGCTCCATCGCAGTGAGGCCCCGTCCCCTGAGTGCCAGAGACAAGCGAGACCCTCCTTTGGCTCCTCCAGCTGCAAATGCACCGAAGGGGCACCCAGCCGCCCCTCAGCAGCCGGCTTCCATTGCTGCTGCCGCCACTACAGCCGCCTCCTGCCCGGTGCCCTCCAAGTGCTTGAGCAATCAGCATCTGGAGGCAACTTTCGCCTGCTCCGGCGCCCAACCCCAAGGGCAGATATAGGCTGAGGTTTTGGTAACTGGGGAACATTTTGCCCCTGTTTTCCATTTAATGTTTTTTAAGCATATTTATTTAACAGGCATAATTATTCGGTTTGTCCATCCAAACAATGTTTCTGAGATCAGATTAAATTAGAGACATTTTCAGAATAGATTTGTACACGACAGCTAGACGATATTTCAGTACGATTTCAAATAAAAATGCATTACAAATGTTAATTATAATTTTTATTATTACAAATCTAAAATAGTTACGCTAACCTGCTTTAACTGCCATTACCACCACGTCGCTGGGGAGAGGGGGGCTGGGGATGGAGTTCTGTGCCTGGGGACAAGGGAGCGTGGAGAGAGAACAGGGTGCCAGTGAGGGGAGGGGAGTGGAGAGAGGGAAAAAGGTGTCAGTGGGGGGAGAGAGTCCCCTGCCCCCACCTCCTCCCAGGATTCCCCCCCCAGAGGGAAACCGGTGTGTGCCTCTCCGTGGGCCGACCCCCGCCTCCCGCGGCGCTGTGGAGGCCAGCATATGCCTCCCCTGCGG